TTTTTTCCTGATTAAAAAAAATAAATATATGACCACTGTAGAAATCAACAGAAGCACATAGAACACAGAAAAGCAGACAATTCTATTACCCAGGGCTAACCATTAACATTTTTGCATATGCAAATTCAAAAAGTTTGCAGAAAAATGGCATTAATGTCTCAAAATCTTAAACAACTTATTGACCTATAATTCACACACCACACAACTCAATGGTTTAAATATATTGAAAAGAACATCGTCACAACTGATTTAGGACGTTTTCTTCATTCCTGTACTCCTCGTTAGCTCCTCAGTTTGCCCCAGCCTTCCCTACCATTAACCCCAAGAAACTATTCTTCCAGTCACAGACTTACCTACCCTGGATCTCATGTCACGAAAATCATACTAAAATCCAAACTCACAAAACACCCACCAACCCGCAAAAAAAGATCCAAAAGAAAAGCAGAAATACTAGAAAATAATAAAAGCACAACAACTAGAACACGTTTGTCGCGACCCACAGGTTGAGAACCGCTGCCCTATCTGATGCTGAGCCCTGGGTTGCTGTACATCCACCCCTGCGGGCTGTGACTTCAAGGCCCCCTGACTGCAGGGCACTCCCCTGCGAACAATGACTACCCACAGAAAAAGAACGGGAGGAAGCCTCGCGGTCATTGGAGAGCCAGAGAGGCAAGGCGCACCCCTCTGGACAGTACTGTGTCTACAAGTCCTCATCAGGATACTGACAATACACCCAAACCCCTCAAACCAACAGCACCGGCACCCACAAAATCCTTGGAAGACCCCGAGAGGCAGAAGTGTGGCTGCTTGCGGTGTGATGGACTGAGGACTTCCCTGGAGGACACTGTTAGGGGTCGGGTGTCTGACTACACCTCTATTTTTTTTCTCCCCAATTGGGAGGGTGGTGGATGGCACAATTTTAAGACTCTGCTTCCTGTTACGATTCTAGGTTATTTTCAGGGATTCCATCATATGCATTAAAAAAGCAGTGTTGGGTTTGATGAAGATTTTACCTGGGGAAAAAAATCAGACCATCCAAGGAAACTCTTGTACCTGTCTTCTTTTTGCTGATTTTTCTCCACGTTGTCCCCTCGTTCTCAGCAATCTCTTCTTCAGACAGCTCCCCATCACCCCCTTTGGTTCTCTGCCCCTCCATCACCTCTTCAGGTATGAAAGGAGACTGATCCACGATGACGTCAAACACACCCCTGGCTATCGTCTGGACCAATGTCTGGCTGAAGGGGCAAACACAGCAGAGAGCAGGTCAGGACACATGGCCCGGCTGGGGTATTCAAAGGAGCGCCTTCAGACCAGGTCGGTGTGCCCTCCAGGTGAGAGAGCTCAAGTGCCCCTACGCATGCCCTACATGCTCGCCCACTTGTGCTGGCTGCTAGCGGCCAGCAATGAACTGCTGAGGGTTGAGGCGTGTGTGTGCGTGTGTGTGTAAGGGGAGGGGAGGGAAGTGGGAGGGTCTGCGTCCTGGAAGGACTGAGGTCAAACCCTGACACCGGGAGAGCCCTTTCCTTCCGGAAAGACTCCAATGTCTTGCTGGTGGGAACTGAGAAGGCGCAGCTTTCCTCCCTGGACCACCACCCGACCAGCATGCACCAGCCTGGCAGCAAGGTGCACTTCCCCACCATGAAGCACCAACGGACACAAGAGCACGATTCACTTACTCCTTAGACTTGGCAGCGATTTTGCAGAACGGATCAATAAACTTGAGATTCTGATCAGCCAGAAGCTGTAATATAGACGTACGACGAGCACGTAGTGAGAGAAAGGAAGAGACTTTTTCATTTTTTCCAACATGTCCTTGAACTAGGAACTCCTCCCACGTTCACCCAGGTAGACACAGCCAGAATCCTGGCTCTTTCCCGCAGTGCAGAACGCACTCTGCATGCTGACCCACGCAGAGCTGGCGCACGAGCCCGGCCGCCTGCAGCACTCCTGCCATGGGCTACCCTGGCCCAGCAGCTCAGAGAAAGGGACCCGGTCTGGACTCTCAGTGCACACAGGCCTGACTCTACAGAGGCATTCCACGCAGGTATTCTCGCAAGTGCAACACAAAGGCCCCTTACGTTAACGTAGCATGTAGACTTTATTTTAAAAAAGACCCATGCTCTGCAGAACACTTGGGGTAAGGGAGGAGAGGGAGTGAAAATGACCACAGCCCCCAATTTAGAAAAAAATGTATACTTTCCTTCAAGCTCTACGTCTGTTCATGTAAGAAAGGGGCTTCAAAAAGTCTGTGGGAAATGGAATTGGGAGTTCACAGAATTTCCCCCCGAAGGGCTGGAAGCCCCATTTAGCTGTGGCTTCACCACACTGTTAACAGGAGGTCGGATGTCCACTCACCTCTTTCCCTCCCACTTTAGATAATTCATCCAGGTAAATATCGATGAAGTGGAACTTCACTCCACTTGGAGCCTGGCCTTCAGGATGCAGGACCTCCTTCATTAAGACATCTAGAAAACGCTTGATTCCGCTATGGGGAAAACGTACCCAGGCCTGTTAGTGCGGGCACACCAGCATTTCTCCACGTGCATGTGTCAGTATTGTGTCCAATGGCAGGCGTACACAATCATCCATACAAAACAGCCAGTTAGAAATGCCAGGGAGGGCCACAGAGGTGGAACGAACCCTCGAACTTATCACCCGAAGATCATCTTTAAACCTTAAGCCAAAACCACCCCCTGAAGTTCTCTTCAAAACAAACAGTGATTCAGCTTAACTAGCAAAGACTGTCTGCCTTGGGCACTCTGCTCTTTGAAGATCTATCCAAATTGACCGCAGCAATGTGAACGGTTAGATGGGAAACTTTTGTGAGTTCATGTTAACGAGGAAGGGGCAACTCAGAAGGCTGTACAACTTGAACGATCTAATCAAGGTCACTGAGTGGGCATGTACAAATTGTGAAATGCTGCTTTGTAGAATTTGAACAACAAAACCCAAACAAATGAACATTTTAGCTCATCAGTTGAAAAACACTGTTACCCCCAAAGTTTAATAGCCATCAGATGCTAAGACAAAGTTTGCTGACCTTTCTTCCCAGCCACTTTGCTTCAAGACTTCAAAAGACTGCCTTAGGACCAGGCGCATCAGCTGCGAAGAAAGGGTTCTGGTTACAAACGGGAGAAGAACAATGGCCCTGGGGTGCCCTGCGTACCAGAGGGGATAACACCCACCATAATCCTGTGCACCTTCTAGGACAGGGTCTTCAGTGAGGACCCAGGATCCCTGGTGGCAGAGTGGCTGAAGGGCCTGCCTGCCAAGTGGAGGCCCAGGGGTTTGAACCCACTGGCTGTTTCAGAGGGGAAAGCCGTGTCTGTCTGGGTGTATAGCCTTGGAAACACAACAGGGCAGTCCCCCTATGGAGTGGGAAACCAACTCAATGGCAACGAGGTTGGTCAGTTTGGTTTGAGACCTCCAAGCCCACTTCCCCATGAGAACCGAGGGCCAGGAGAGGAAGCGCAGCAGTGTCCCTGTGCTGCCTACCCACGCCTCCTACCTGGGACTTGCCCTACCCACGCCTCCTACCTGGGACTTGGCCTACCCACGCCTCCTACCTGGGACTTGCTTGGCTTCATACATCAACCTTTTGTTCTCTAAACACTGAAAATTCTTTCCTCCACACGAGCTTTTCAAGTGAAACTTTGAAACTCGTCTCTGAACGTACCATGCAGTATTTGTCCAGGCACAGCTTGTCAATCCCCGCCCACTCTCGATTCATGGTTTGCCAAAAGGTCTGAAGGAACAGGTGCTCTGCAGGGGACACAGTTTTTGAGTGCTTGGCTTCCACGTTAGTGAGGTATCATACAGCAAGAAAATACCGACGAGGGAGACACCTTACTTATTATTTACTTTCCTTGGGAATCTAAGGCATCGAGACATGTTGGTCAGTAAATGAGCAGGCATGATAATTTCTTTCACAAGTAAACAAGAGCATATTATTACAGTAGCAGGATGCTCCTGCTCAGTGAGAATGCTCTGTGGAGCGTTTCTTTATCCAGTTAAGTCAGGCGTCTATTACCACCAAGATAGCTTCTGAAACGGAGGGCGCCTATAAGCCCCTTCCACCACACCCTGATCTGAGAACCAATCCCAAACCGCTCACTGTGATGAACATGTATACGGTCCGCTAACTGGTTTATTCTTCTTTTGGGGGGGGGGGGCGCCACAATTCATTTGGCAATCTACAAACCTATACCATAAGCTATCTGCAGAAATTGGCTCATTCTTGCTCTGCTGAAACCCCACTAACACTCTGAGAGCCACACAAAGTTCCAGAAACCAGTGGGATGGTCTCGTTCTGAGCATCACCAGGCAGAGCACACCTGGCCAGCTTTTTCTTCATTTGTTGGTAATCAGAGCCCAGCCATCTCAGAATTACCTTGATTCACTCATGTTGCCACCTGGTGATTCCTTCTGGTAAAGCGAAGCTACCTTATGGCTTTCCTACTGCTGTCCTCACATGGCTTGCACCCTGGGGAGGTACCGCCACCACAGGCACAAGTACACGGACCCTCGAAGGGCGGTTAGAGCCCAGAGCGCTACAGTTCTGGGGGACGTCATTTCTGAAAACAGTTCCCAGAAATCTCTGCCAAGTAGGAGAGAGTTCACTGGACACTCCTCCACCCTCGTATCAAGTCAGCATGCACGTTTGCACCGTTCCCTGTATCGGGGGTCAGTTGTCGCCCGCCACCCGTCTTCAGACGGTCCGCGCCGGGCTCACTGTGCTAAGACAGCACGCTGGGAAACAGCAATTCGGAAGGAGGGGATGCAGTGCTGGGGAGGCTTCCTAGAAAACGACCAAGTCCCACAGCAAGAAGTTGGGAAAGTCAAGAAACGGCCAAGACTTACGCGCCTCTGAGTTGTTAACGACATGGACAAGCTGCGATATCCGGTTCCCAAGCTCCTCCTGCGGGACAGGGGGAAACACTGGGATTAGGTGCAACACCCACCAGACCGCTCCATGGCCTGCGTCCTTGTCCTCCGCGCCACTTCCACTAAGCAGGAAGTAACGGGGTGTGAACGGCATCCACCATGAAATCCCTAAAAGTTGACAGACCGCTAAGTGAACTTCATTTGCCCCCAGAGTGGTTTATGCTGCATGTTGAAAAAGCATCTCTAGCCATCAGCTCCAGTGCTCTACGGCCAAAGTACAGCAGCAATCAGCCCCTTGCTTTAAAATATACTTAAATTGCGAAACTGTGAATCTATTCTAACACTTCAAAGACCCAGGAGACAGAAGTCTGTGGCTAGCCACGGGGGATTCTTGCTCTACAGGACTCGGCTCTCAGCTTGGTCCATGCGCGTTGGGAAGAAACGGTAATACAAAGGCGGGACTCACCTGTGGGGAGCTCGGGGTCTGGGTCTGCGAGGAGGCCTGCTGCAGGGAGGGTCTCACGGTGGCATCTCTTTCTGAGGCCACACCAGAGATGGCTCCACCACGCTAATTCTGGCCCGCCCTCCAGCCTCCAAGCGGTCTCTCTCATTTTACTGGCACCCCCGCCTTCAAAACGACATTCCCCGGCTCCGTTTTCTTCCCCCACTACAGCTGTTGGCTTGTTACTTTTCACTGTAGTTTAAAAATATTTTGCTCTGCTATCCTACTCAAAATATGTTTAGTGGAGTAGAAGCAATAAACTCAACCTCATGACTACACGGCTCCGTGGCAGTCGTGTGTCTGCATGTGTATATTTGTGTGTGTGTGTGTGAGAGAGAGAGAGAAGACTGCGTGTTAAGACCCAGAAAAGGGAGAATCTCCTTCCTGGTGTGCTCAAGGCAGAGTTCTCGATAGACTCCCAGAGTCTGCTGTGTGCAGCAGCAACAGAGCGCTGAACACACTAGGGAAAGAACTTCCATAGATGCCCAACTTAGCTCGGGGCTCAGTGGGTTCAGGAAGTGGGGCCAAACTTGCACCCTCCTGTGAACTCCCCTGAGCTCTGAGCCAGCAGCAGCCTGGGCTGCGAGGGCTTGGCTGTGCACGTTACACGAGGCAGGTCCCTGGTTACCCGACTGCGCTCTGGCAGAGGTGGGTGATCCTGGGGCCCTGGCATCCCCTCCCCTCCCCAGGATCTTGGACTAGACACTCTTCTGTGCTATTTCTTGACCACAAACAATTAATGAAAAAGAAACAAATGCACTAGAAGTCGGCTTGGCTTTCTGGCGTCTAAGTCAGAGCAGAGGGCGCACGCAAAACATTGTGCAGACTTATGAGAGGACTGAGGGAGCCCAGGTGACAATGCGGGCAAAGGTTGGGCTGCTAACCACAGGTCCACCAGCTCAAATACACTAGCTGCTTGGTGGAGGCGAGGCGAGGCGGCCTGTTTGCACAGATCACAGTCTGGGAAAGCCTAGGGCCAGCTGCCCCACTCTGTCCAGCGGGGTGACTGCGAGCTGGAGAGGACCTAACAGCAGCCAGCAACACATGAGAGGAGACAAAGGAGTTGACATCTGTTAATCTGTCCACGCCCCAACGCCGCCGCCGTGTGATGGAGGGAGGTGCACGTTACCTGTAGGAGAGGTTCACCCTGCACCCACATGCAGTAAAAGAGCCCTTTCCATATCTTCAAGAGCTCTTCTTGGCTGAAGCCTCCTGGGGGACAAGAACAACACATAAACCTAGTTTTTTTTAAATCATTTTACTGGGGGCTCATTCAACTCTTACCATAATCCATCCATACATCAATTGTATAAAGCACATTTGGACATTTGTTACCCTCAGCATTCTCAAAACATTTGCTCTCGAAACCTAGTTTTAAAGTCCACACATGTCCTCCCCGAGAGCTCAGGATGGCCACCCACAGTGGGCGTCTTACCCAGGTTCTCTTCCACCAGCGCCCTTTTCCCAAAGATGAAGCCCCACACCCTCCTTGTTGCTACACGCAAAGGAGGGTGGCAGGGCAGGTGGGCGGCGGCCTGTCCTCACGAATACGAGTGCTTGGGTTAGGGTGGGCTGGGCTGGGCGGCGGGGAGGTGGTAAGCAGAGAAGACAGATTCAAGAGTCTTAGGAGATGGCAGCCAAATACGATGGAGTCTTCCATGACTTCGGGTTTATCACCAAAGATATTTATAAAACAACTAAGAAAAGGAACAAATTGGGTATTTCACGAGTTCCAGGGATTTTTTTTAAAAAGGCCCAATGATGGGACTGTGCTTTTCACAAACCTCTCTCCTCTTCTGGAGCTCCACAGGACAGCGTGTGGGGAGGGCTGAGCAGGGGATTAACTCACAATCTGGGGGAAGGAGGTGGAGGCAGGAGTAGGGGCAGGCTGGAGACCAGGAAAACGGGCCCAGGGGCTGGCAAGTATGAAAGCTGAGTTAGGAGTGTAGTAACATATATTTGAAGTATTAAGTAAGAGATTGAAAAAAGGTGACATGCAATTGCCAAAATGTGACCGACCATCAAGTGTTTTACGAAAGTCCTCAGAAAGGCAGCTACCGCGGCGCAAACAGTGGTGAAGCTAAAGGCCATGGAGGGTTTACACTTTGTGAGGCTCAAGCCCTGGGCACCCTGGTGCTGGCTGAGCAGCTACTTAGAGGTGTCACCTCCACTGGGCACTCTACAGTGGGGGCAGGGTCTGAGCCAGCTCAGCAGTGGGCCTGGTGTAGGAGCTGGACCAATGACTCGCCTGCGGATGATGAGCTCTGTCTCACTAGCCTGGAAGGGCAGGCTAAGTCTAAGTGCAGAGCGAGGCGGAGCCCAGTACTGGGTCAGGACGGAGGCAAACTGCACTGTGGCTTATTGGTGAGCTGTCGCTGAGACACTGCCTCATCGGTTCGCCTCACGACTAGTGTGCTGGGAGGTTCTCCGGAGCTGTCATGGAAAGAGTCCTAACAACAGAAATTTTTTTCCCCCTTTTTAAATCATCAAGCGAACATTCTTCTATAGGCAATGGGGACTCCATGCAGGTTTTCAAAGGAAGCACTGTTGTCTGAGGGCTGTGGATCTTTCCAGACCTTTCTTGTGCATTTACACACTTAAAAGGATACCTGGAAGGCACCCTTGAGTGCAGCACCTAGGTGGCATCATGTTCTATTACACTGTATCCTGGCCTTTCTCCTCTTACAAATAGTACATTGTTGTCAGGTGCCACAGAGCTGATACCAATTTACAGCAAGCCTGCCGGACAGGGGCAAACTGCCCCTCAAGGTTTCCAAGGCTGGAATCTATGGACAGACAGCTATGCTTCTCTCCCATGGGGCAGCTGGTAAGTTCGCACAGCTGAAGCGGCAGAGCACTTTAACCACGGTGCCACCAAGGCTCCTAAACCATAAGAGAAGTGGAGCACGTACTTATGAGTAGATGCTCTTATAAATAGACCAGTCTATAAAACCAACTCTGAGTGGTGAGGGTATAGACCCATTATCTTTGGAGGGAGCCCCAGTGGCGGAATGGTTGAGTTGGGCTGTGGTCCACATGGTTGGCACCTCAAAACCACCAGCAGCTGCGTGGGAGAAAGACTGGGCTGCTTTCGACGCGCGTCACTCTAATAGTGACAGTCTCAGAAAGCTGCAGGGGCTGCCATGAGTCAGCCTCGCCAGGATGGCAGTAAGCGAGCTAGATGATCTTTGGATCACTCCTAAATACTGAAGGCCAAGGGATAATATGATGTGCTACATGCTGAGGCTTTTATAAACGGGAAGCAAAGTGACAGGGGTGACCTGGGACACAGGTAGGAAAGGGCGCCGAATGCAAACACACCTTTTGTTGCTTCATCCCTAGGGGAGGTAGCAAAATACTGGAGAGAGAAACAAGCCATGGCTGAGCCCTAACTCTGTGGTCTTAGACAAGTCTCAATTGCCTCGCCTGTAATATATGTAAAGGTTATGGAAAAAAATAAGAGCACATGCATGAAGCACTTTGAAAGAGTAAAAGTCTTATTCACCTGGTGGATATTATTATAACCATGGCTTCAGTTTCTCCTGAAGCTTTATCCCCCCCCTTCGTTTTAATAGCTATTTACTAACAGCTTATGTGTAACAATCACTTGTTTTCACCCAGGATTTAGTTGGCAAAAACAAGGTGCCAATCTTTGAAGAACTTAGAGCTACACGGATGGCTACGAGTAAAACAGAGAAATGCTCACGACTTAGGATCTTTTAAAAGCGGGAAAGTGGAAGCACATTATCTGAAGCGTATTTGTTTCAATGGCCTCTTAATTGGCTCTTTCTTCTTGGGGCCAGAGCTACAATTAGGTTTTGGACAATTACAGGTTTAGTTATTACAAAATGAACAATGTGAACGTGACAACGTAGAGCGAAGCACGGGCCGAGTAAACACCAAGAGAAGCTCTGAGATGAGAAAACCCAATAGCTAGTCTCACCATGAAGTGAACCACTTACATTCTAGCTGTACGTTCTGGCCCACCCCACCGTCACAACAGCTTTGGTGTGTCATACCACTGGGCCAGGATGATCCAAATCCTAACAGGCCAGGGCACGCACACAAGCACCCCTCACCTCTATCATCTCGGCGGAATTGAGCACATTGTTCATTTTAAGATGTATTGCCACTTCATGTGCCATCAAAAGGAAAGCGGTTTCGAGAGGAAAACGATCACAATGTTGGCTGCAAAATCAATAAAAACAGGTACTTTCCCCCTATGTCAATGCAGGAACACTTTGTTCTATTAAACTGGCATTCCATGATGCTCACCTTCCTGACACGATCACTGAAGACAAATGGGTGCATAAGCAAATGTGGTGAAGAAAGCTGATGGTGCCCAGCTATCAAAAGATACAGCGTCTGGGGTCTTAAAGGCTTGCAGGTAAACAAGCAGCCATCTAGCTCAGAAGCAACAAAGCCCACATGGAAGAAGCACACCAGCCTGTGTGATCCGGAGGTGTCGTAAGGGATCAGGTAGCAGGCATCAAAGAACAAAAAAATCATATCATAGTGATGAGGGAGTGCAGATTGGGGACCCAAGACCCATCTGTAGGCAACTGGAAATCCCCTTACAGAAGGGTTGCAGGGAGAAGAAGAGCCAGTCAGGATTCAGTGTGGCAATGATGAAAGATACAACTTTCCTCTAGTTCTTTAATGCTCTCCCCGCCCCCCACATGATCCCAATTCTACCTTACAAATGCGGCTAGATCAGAGGATGAATGAACAGGCAAGAGGAACCTCAAACCGAGGACAATGACCTTGCCATGCCTGCAAACGCCCAATGTCAAAAACCCAGAGTGACTGTTGGTCAGGTACTTGTGGTGGTACAGATAGATTCCTGCTGAGGGGCAGCTACATGGGCTACCTCATGTAGGTGGGAGAGCCCAGAGAGCGATGCAAAAAAATAGGTGTGCCACGAAGGTACAAATGACACGTCATTTCTAAGTGAAGATGTTGAAGTACAGGGGTGGTATTCAACCTGTCGATCAGATCACAGCCTGATGGTGCCTCCCTGTCAGAGTGGCCTTTTCATAAGGAGGGCCCTGGGACCTCCCCTCTCACTCTGCCTTCACCTTCCTCTTGGCTGACCCTGGTTGCCCACCAAACTGATCTTCCTGCAACATTGCATGTGGCTTTGTGAGTCTCAAGAGGGACTTATGGTCTAGTATTGGACTTATGGACTTGAGTTGGACTGGGCTGGGATATTTGATTTTTACTTCTTGATATAAAGCTCTTTTTTACACGAGTGTCACTGGATTTGTTTCTCAAGTCAACCTGGCCTAACACATGTGTTCTATTGCAATGGCAGCTACAGCTGAGTGTAATTCTACCCTGCCACCCTCGTGTCACCATGCACCGTAATGCACTGACTCAATGGCAACTGGCCATTGGGGTAGAGCCCTTTTTGCCCAGTGTCATTTACCATTGTGTTGCTGACATTTAGTAGGCAGAATTGTTCTTGGAAGGCCAGCGTGCCTGATGTGGGTAGGGAGGTGAACAGAAGGACTAGATAGGATGGGTCAAGCACTGGGGAGTGGGGCCAAGCTTGTGCTCCTGCAACAACACATCAGCACCTGGTAGGTCTTGGGCCAGGCCACCCAAGGGGTCTGAGCAACAGGCTCTATTTGGCTGACCACTTAGACCCATTCCACAGCCACACACGTAGTGTATCTGGACCTCAGGATGCACAGGGCTCCAGCTCCTCACATGCTCTTGGGCATGGCCAGGTCTTTGCACAGCTGGGCCTGCAAGAAAACAGATGGACCTGGCAGTGGCTTTTTTGGGGGTAGGGGAGATGGCACATTAACAGCCGAGTAAGGTGGAGTATAGCTAACTACGACAGCAGAGGCATGCTGGGTACTTCAGAATCATTAAGAAGTGGAGGTATGAGAGTTCAGGGAAAGCAGAAAGGGGGCACTCGCCTTCAATGAGTAAACAAGAGAATCAAGAGTAGAGGTGTGTTGCCCAGGAGGGACGACAAACAGCTTGTTGTCGAGCCGTAGTTAGGTGGGAGCCTAGAGGGGTTCTGAGTTTTAAGAAAGACAATGACATGATCACATTTGCTTTAGGAAGTTTATAAAGGTTGGCTTGCTGTTGGACGCAACAGCAAGGTACGTTGTGGAGGAAGTATATTAGCCCTGATGGGAAAGAAAGGGCCTGCGGTGAAGGGAAAGGAGCCCGGGTGACAAGAAGGTTAAGTGCTTACCTGCAAACCAAAAAAGGTTGGTAGTTCAAACCCACCAGCCACTCCAAGGAGTGATTCTGGAGCTAACTATGGCCAAGAGACACTGGGTGTGGCATTAGAAGAAACATGGGGCAGTGAGAACAGTCCAGGATAATACCGGGTCCAGCCACAGAGTATTAGCATGAGAGAGGACAGTGGGAAACAGCAACCAAAAAACACAGGAGCATCAGAAGAGAACTGTTGTGTTTTTTTTTTCTGGGGGAGGGGGCAGGAAAGAAAACCAAGTTAGTTTTGGGCATTCTGTGCCTGAAGGGCCTGAGACATCAGGGTGCCCAGCAAACAGGTCCTGTCTAAGATCCAAGTAGGAAAAGTCTGGATTGAGGAACCAGCAGTGCATATGGGATACCTGAGTTCAAGAGACCAGTGAAATCTGTTAGTGAGAGATCAGAAAGGAATTGAAGCCAGGATTTTCTGCCTTGATTCCACACCCTCCCCCATCATATGCATATGCGATTTCTCTTCAAAATAAAAGAAACGGAGCAAGTTAGTGAAGGGGCGGATGCTACCTGTTCTTTCAAGCTCGTCTTAAATGTATTTGTAGCTGCAGTAAATGAATCAGACAGTACCTTAGAGCAACATAAAATCTCCATTGCATATTGCAGTTCCCACTCTTGGGTTTACAAGAGCATATTTCGTAGCAGGCAAATGAATTTCCTCCGGCGGCCCCTGTGCAATTACAAGGTGAACTCCAAAGCCCTGTGTGATCTGGCCACTGCCTGCATTTCCAACTTCATCTCAGGACACCTTCACCTTCCCTTAACTTGCTCTCCTCCCCAACGATCCACTGTGTGTGGGTAGTGGCATTAAAGCAACGGGTAGGCTCAGCTCCTCTCCTGCCTCTCCATGACTGGGCTTCCTCTCTTCAGATCTCAAAACATTAGCCCAGAAAGAACTTCCAGGAACAGCCAGTGTAGGGGAGCCCTCTCCCTACTTTCCCCCTATCATAATAGCCTATTTCCATTTCTTTCACCACACTGCCACAAGTTCTATTTTATTTGTTCAACCCCCACCCCCCACCCCTGCAGCTTAAACTACAAGTTCTGGAGTGCCCTTCTCTCCCGTATCGTCGGCCCTTAAGGGTGTTGGCTAAAGGAAGGCAGCAGTCGAGGAAGGGAGCCGTGGGATAAACCTGGCCGTGTCTACTGATTCCAAGTGCAGGCTCGGAAATCAGATCTCGGTTACATCTCCGTTTCCACAGTGACTTGTAGTAAGTTACTGAACACTACTCGGCTCGTTTCCCCAAATGCAAGATGTGACCACACACAGTTAAGTAAGCGGTCAATGCAGTCACGGGCACGCCGAAGCACGCGATGGATGTCACGAATCACTGCCCTGAATGGAAATCGAAGCATCGTTCCTTCACTGGGCCCGGTTTCCTATGTCCACGCCCTTTGCCCGCGGGGTCCTTCCGGCCGCCACATGCTGCTCGCCCGCCATGTGCGAAACGAACTGACCGCAAGCGCCCACCTGCCTCTCCCTGTGTTTTCACGCTGATATACTGGCGCAGCTTCTTCACCGCCCGGTCTCGAATACTCTTCTCGTTGGAAGCCAGCCGCTGGGCAAACTGGATCTCGGCTGGCTGCATGGCGGGAGCCATCGCGCCAGCTGGAGCATCCCCAGCCACACAGCACCGATCTACTCCGACTCCAGCCGCAGGCAGCCGCGGTGCAGCCCGGGCCGCGACTGCGCAGAAGGCGCAGCGGGGGCCTGGCAATCCATCCACGCGCAGAGGCGCGCGCGGCCGGCGCGCGGGATGATGATGTCATAAAGGCGCGGCCCCGGGTTCGCAGTGCCTTCTGGGAGCGTGCGCCGCGGAGGCCGTTTTCTTGGCGCACCGCCCAGTGGTGGGGGGGTGAGGGTTGGGGTTGCGAGTTCTCCTCTTCACCCTTTGAGAGTCTTTAGATCGTCAAAACCCAAAAAGCGCCCAAGACTGTTGTCGGTGCGGTTAGCCAGGGTTGGTCTACGTCACTTAGCAAAAACCTCGTCAAGTCAGCACCCCCTAGGCTGTACTTGGCCCCGTGGAGCTGAGTTTGTAAGGGAGGTACCCTGGGCTGATTCTGAGCTGTGTTCTTTACGCAAGTGTAGTTCAGTGTGATGCAAACGGATGTCCTTAAACGAGCACCCATCAGACCTGACAAACATCCACACGTGCATATGTAGGATACGAAGAACGTTTCTTGTAAATTCAGGAGAAAAATAGTCTTAGTTGTGGTATAACTTTGGGTTCAGTTAGAAGCCGGAGCCCTAACACTTTGTGTATTCACTATGGGGCAAGTTAATGGGCCTGATGGATGACCTGTCGGAAATTTCGGTCATTTTAGTTGAAATAAGCGCTCAGCGGCTAACTAACGTCAACAGTTTGAATCTACCAGCGTCTCGCACCAGGGAGAAAGCTACAGGCGGCTGTTTCCTTCAAGACGTAGCCTTTGAAGCCTGCAGGGCAGTTCTACTCAGTCCTATAAGGTCACTGTGAGTCACATGGACTTGTTAATGGCAGTATTCT